GAAGGCGCGTGGCTGGTGTCCTATCATAGTCGCTGGGATCCACTGGGGTGAAACATGGACAAAAGCAACCCTGGTCCCTCACAGCATTTCAGAGTAATTATGGCTTGGCATTTTTGGTGAGGGGCCTATCTTCCCAACCCAGAACCTGTTTGACCTGCATCTTCTGTTCCCTATCTTGGTTTATAGTTACAACGAAAAGTCCCGGCGACGGTTCGAGGACTTGGCCCGGCACGTGGAGGACGCGGAAGCCTTGCAGGTTGCCGGCAGCTGGGTCATCTCCTGGGGCGACACCAAGGGTCTGTCAGCAACTCAGAGGGTCCGAGGCTTCCTTTGGGAAACCCACACAGTATTCCATTGGCAGACTCAACTCCACCTTTTTACCCTTTCAACCAGCAAACAGTTAATTCCGGATTCTGTTGTGCTAGCTTGCCTTTGTCACTTGCAGATGCCCACCTACTCGGTGGGAGCCAAGGGTTACCTTGAGCCAATACTTGACCGCAGCGGTGTGCAGTGGACTTTTACCCCGGGACTCCGGAAGGTTTTCCTTTTTACCCATGATTGCCGCTGCCACAAGCCTGGCTGCTGCTTTGTGGTTGTGAGGCTTACTGTAGTCTGTCCACATTTGAGACTGCAGTTTTTGCCAGGGTTAGTTGGGGCGACGATCCACTTCCTGCCTTTTTCATTTTCCCATTTAGATTCGGGTCATGCTATTTGGGCAAATAGCTTGCTTAATAGCTCGACCTGCTTTGGCATTTGAAGGTAGAGGCAAGTTTGATCCAAATCTTGAGACCCGCTGAAAAAAGGGGGTGCAGGTTTCGGAAGTATTCTAGAATTTGCCACTCCATGCAAAGCCGCCCCCCCACCCCACCCCACCCTCCCCCCAGGTCTGAGGCGGATTTCCAGGCCGCGCTGTTCTGCGAAGTTCAGCCCGGGTTGCCCAGCTCCCCAGTGGCCCCCGCCGCCGTACCGGCCGAGTTGAAGTGAGCGGAAGACGGCCGGAACTGACAAATGGCGGCACTGGGGTCTGCTCACAAAGTAATGTGTTGCATTTTAAGGTTGGCTAAATATGGAATGGGATCAAAACAGAGTTTTCTAGAGTACCCAGATCTGGGTCAAGGGTAGTCTGTTTGTTATTAGTTTGGCCTTGAACTTTTGAGGGGCCACCCAAAATGCAACCGCACAAAAAACAAGGGGCCACAGAAAGAAAGAACATCATGTCCTCTTAGGGGGCATGTAATTTTGTCCGTTTCTCGGATCCCTTCCGCCAAAGAAGCGGGCAAACGGCGAATTCAAGATCCTCGAGGCAAATTAGCGACGACTTGGCATTGGGAGGGCTGTGGAAGTGCCATGCCTGATTTTGTGTAGGTTCTTTGTATGTTTTAGGGTGGAATGAGACTGGATGCTTCAACCACTTCAGTTGATAGGAACCGACAACCACGTCCGGGTAAGTGAATAATTAATTCGTCATTGGGAAGGCCCTCCAGCACTTCCTACGACGCTGGCTGGGGTGTGTCCTGCACATTCCTGGCACGTGTGTGTGTGTGTGTGTGTGTTGTGCGCAACACATCTCACTGAAAATAAAACTGTTTGGGGCAAAAGCGTCGAGACCTCTTGGCGCCACTCGTTTCACGTGTGCACACACGTGAAATCTTTCGGCTGTGAGGGTCTCGAATATGCAGGAAATCAGGCAGCCTGGGCGTGTCCGAGCAAAAACGGGAATCCCCACCAATTGTGTGCAGAACGAGCTCAGCGGGAAAAAACAAGCTAACCCATGATGAAGGCCCATTAATATGAAGGATTTCTTGTTTTCTGTGTGTGTGAAGTATAGTAAGTTGCCCGCCAGCGGTTGTGCGTTTGGTTTGCCTTTAAACACCATCTTAAAGGAGGACCTCGAGTTTGGGCGCATTCACATTCGTATTCTTCTGCTTGGCGTGTTGCTTTCTCGGAGCTTGAGAATGTCGAAAGAAACCAGCCCATAGAATGAGTTGTGTAAAGAGGTGTGAGCGGGAGCGGACCCTAGGAGAAACCCATAGTCGTGCATCCACCAAGTGGTCAAGTGGTCTTTGTGTACCCCATATGTATCTATTTGCACTATGTGGAAAGAGTCAATTCCAACTGAATCACCGATGCCATTGAATCCCCACCCAAGCCTACAGCCCCCCCCACAACAAACTAGACCACGGTTGGCCCGAGAGCATAACATCGCAAGCGAGGTCGGCCCAACGCTGCAGGATGCGTTCTTTTTCCCTCCACGAAGCATTTGTGAAGCAAGCGCGAGACAGCACCAGGCAAGGTGCTCTGCGCAAACTGGTCGGTGCAAGTTGGTCTGCGCAAGTTGCTCTACGCAAGTTGCACTGTGCAAGTTGCTCTGCGCAAGTTGCTCCGCGCAAGTTGCTCCGGCAAGTTGGTCCCTGCAAGTTGCTCTGTGCAAATTGCGCTCCCTGCAAGTTGCTCTGTGCAAGCTGCTCTGTGCAAGTTGCTCTGTGCAAGTTGCTCTGCGTAAGTTGCTCTGCGCAAGTTGCTCTAGGCAAGGCGCTCTGCGCAAACTGGTCGGTGCAAGTTGGTCTGCGCAAGTTGCTCTGTGCAACTTGCTCTGCGCAAGTTGCTCTGCGCAAGTTGCTTTAAAATGCAAGTTGCATCTTGTGACGCCCGCCCGCGGACCAGGGAGGAATCGAACCCGCGACCCGCCGGTTCCGGGAGCAGGCGCGCGAACCACGAGACAACTCCCGAGGACCAGTTCGAACAACAAAAGTCGCACAAAACCTCGAGTTTTTGCACCTCGACCACGCCGATATTCGCAGAGAATTGCGCGAGCACCGCAGAAATCGGAAAAAACCTCGAGTTTTTGCACCTCGATCACGCCGGTCCCCGCAGAAGTTTGCGCGGGCACCGCAGAAATCGCAAAAAAAAACATGGGTTTTTGCACCTCGACCACGCCGATCCCCGCAGAGGGTCGCGCGGGAACTTTAGAAATCGCAAAAAATACATGGGTTTTTGCACCTCGACCACGCCGATCTCCGCAGAGGGTCGCGCGAGCACCGCAGAAATCGCAAAATAAAACATGGGTTTTTGCACCTCGAACACGCCGATCCCCGCAGAGGGTCGATTTTCGTGTAGTGTCGTTAGCACTACCCCGCCGCCCGAAGAAGAGATTTTGACTCCTCGCAAGTCAATTGCACTTGACTCCTTGCACTTGCAACTTGCACTTGACTCCTTGCACTTGCAACTTGCACTTGCAATTTGCACTTGACTCCATGCACTTGCAACTTGCACCTGACTCCTTGCACTTGCAACTTGCACTTGACTCCTTGCACTTGCAACTTGCACTTGACTCCATGCGCAGCTCGCAATGACTCTCATGACTCCTTGCAATGACTCCTTGCAATGACTCCTTGCAATGACTCCTTGCAATGACTCCTTGCAATGACTCCTTGCAATGACTCCTTGCAATGACTCCTTGCAATGACTCCTTGCAATGACTCCTTGCAATGAATGACTCCTTGCAATGACTCCTTGCAATGACTCCTTGCAATGACTCCTTGCAATGACTCCTTGCAATGACTCCTTGCAATGACTCCTTGCAATGACTCCTTGCAATGACTCCTTGCAATGACTCCTTGCAATGACTCCTTGCAATGACTCCAATGACTCCTTGCAATGACTCCTTGCAATGACTCCTTGCAATGACTCCTTGCAATGACTCCTTGCAATGACTCCTTGCATTGACTTTCATGATGATGATTCCTTGCAATGACACCTTGTAATGACTCTCATGAGAACAGCTCAAGTGAACCCAGCGGAAGAACCCTTCGCCATGCTTTCGGGAAAACATGGACAAATAAGGCCAACCATGGCTGAATAAGACCCTTAAAGGTTAGGGTTGGAAGGGCTCCTGCTTGAAAGGTGCCTGATCAATGGCAGCAACATCTCTGTTGGCGATCCAGGCCTTCAGAAAGTATTCCCTGCATATTGACATAGAGGCAAATAAATTTGGGGACCCTCTAATGACTTGCAGGGTACAATTGGCCGTGGGGTTGACGTGTTGACCCTCAGAATTTCCGTTTGGTTATCGTTCCATTGCATGGGAACCCCCTGAAGATTCACGTAAGTTTCACTTGAACACATCCCTCAAAAGAGCACCACCAAAAGAGACACAGCTGTTCTGCAAGGGTTGATTATTTGAAGAGGAGAGCTCAGAGGACCTTTCCTTGCCTCTTTGATGCCTCTTTCAAGGGGAACCCCCCTCCCCCGGTTTCCTTTGCCCCAGAAGGGTACCCTCAAAACATAACAGCGCACCTAAGTTGGCTGCTCAAGCACATCTCTGTGGGACTTGCGTCAAGCGCATGGCTCACTAGCTGACGCAGGGTTGCTCCGAGCGTCAAAAGGTCGAAACATCGTTTGGTGTCCTTCGGTGTTTTTTCCGTGTGCCTGGGTATCCTTTCATCAGGGACTGTGTACCCTTGTGACAGGGGTCTTTGGAGCAACCCTGAGATTCAATTCAAAGGATCGGGGAAAGAATGCGTCTGGGAAAAAGCGGACCGCCTCTGGACACGTGCTGAGCTGAGTGCGTGCGCCTCGTCTTTATTGTCGGCACACTGTGATCCAACTGGGCGGGTGCAACCCAACGAATCAAGAGGCATCAGGGCCTCCTTTCCAAGGATTCCCGTTTCCTTGCGCTGCAACTGATTTGTTGGGCGGAATCAACAACTCAACCAACCTGGGAACCATCGAACATGAGGTATATAACTATAACCCTTAACCGATATTTTTGGGCGAGCTCACCGATTCCGGTCACCGATTCAGGAATGCACCTGCTTATTCCAGGTTTTGGAGGTGCAACATTTGCGGATATGGTCGCGGTGATCCAATTTGGTTCAGCTAGTTTCCACTACTCCCAGGGAATAGAGGTATTTACGCACCAGCAAACATGAAACCTGGGGATGTCCAAGCCCATTTTCCTCCAAGGGCCACCCTTTGATGTGTGCCGTTTGACGCTTCAGGACCAGCTCTGGCAGGAGATGCGCCGCGCAGAGAAGCCCAAAGCCTGCGCCGCCTCCGCGGCGGCGAAGAGTCGCGCGGTGAAACGCAAAGCCCAGCCCAAAGCGAAGGCGGGCGCGGGCGTTGGCAAGGAGTCAGGGATGCTAAGAATCCCATGAAACAGGGGAGCTAAAGAGCCAACTCGCCCCAATATCGGTGGTTCGATTTTTACAGGGGGTGACCTTGAAGTTCGGAACAGATGCCAAGTGTTGCCTGACGTTCCTTTGGGTTTCTCCTGAAGCGCATCTAGGCTGAGAGCTCACCTTCCCACCACAGCGATCAATGAGTGAATCTCGACCAAGCTTAATGTGGGAGCCTGGCTTCGGGGGTCATTTTTCAGTATCGGCTTAGTATTGGTTCAGTTTGTTCCGTAAATATGTTTGGTATTTGGATTCTGTGTGTAGTGTTAGTTTAGTGTTTGGTTGAGATGTAGAACTGAGTAGAACTGCTTCGTATTGCAGTGTGTATGTGCTATTGTTGTGGTGGGTTATTCAGAAGTGACTAATTAGAATTGGTCAATACTGTTTGATATTGGTTTACATAGTTTGTCTTAGAACAGGTCAGTGAGTCAGGGAGATTGCTTTTGTCAAGTGGGCACCCTGCAGCAAACCCTGCATTTGAGTATCAGGTTCGCCTGCACTACACCCCGCACAAAAAAGCGGTTTTCCAGAAGGCTCAGAGAAAGAATTGGGTTGTCAAAACAAGGATTTGAACCTCCAAATGGTGGCTCTCCTTTTGGCTTCCCCTTAAACTAACTTGAAAAGGCTAGCCTCGAACAATCACAAACCCAATTTGCTGTTGGGCACAGACTTGGGAGCTAGGCCAGCAGATGATGGTTAGCTATTTGAAATGGTTTCCAGGAGTTCCGCAAAGATGTTCTTTGCTTTTGGTTTCTCCGTCCGCTTTTCCCTTTGTGTTCCCACCACTTTCCGAAGCAACTAGACGCCTCACGTGCAGGGCACCCCGGCATCGAGGCAGAAGCCGCCTCAGGCCTGACGGCTTTGGCAGTCAGAGTGGGAACATGCTTTCTGATGGACGAAACCCACAAAACGCAGCAGTTGGGATTGGTGATCAATCACTAGAGTCTCATCCATCTCACCTGGTGCCTGGCGTGGATGTTGTGCATCCACTGTAAGAGTCTATTTTGCAGACTCAAAACCTAAACAAAAGGTTGCACAAATGTCTATTGTACTTGTTTTTTTTTTTTTTCAGTTGTTGTTTATTATTCTTCTTCTGTTTTTTAAGGGATAAAGGCCGTAGCAATTGTCCTGGTATTATATAGCAATGGGAATAACACCAAATATACTACCCGGATTGATTACTATTGACTATGAATGCTAGAATATTGGTTAATCGGAGTAATAATTGGTATTCAGGTGCTTGAACAGTCAGAAGTATCAAGTACATCATGGACACAGCTCAATAGTCTACATTAACAGGAATACCAACATCAACAACAATTGTATCAATACCTTGCTAGTATACCAATAATTACCACAGACAACTATTATTCCTCGGATAGCAGTGATAGCCGCCATCACATTCGGGTCGTTGATAACACTAGACTAGCCTCTGAAGACTGGCACTCTATCATGTTAACCCCATCCTAAAACTATATGATGCCGTTTGCTTGGTCCATTGGTTTCAGGTTAGCCTTTACAATAACAGACAAAGCTGTCATAGGAATAGGACTGTGGTACGGTGGATGCCCTAAATATCGCAAGCAAGGGAACAAGGAACACTCTAGATTAGAATCTGTCTCTAGCTGTATGGTTTTGTGGTTGGTTGAGTATGGTTGGTTTAGTAGCAATATTTGGGCATCCACCGTATCACAAGGGGTAACTATTCCCTTCAACCGTTGCATTGGTTGACACGTTTGGAACCATTTCCGCGAATATGATCCGCTTCCGCGCGGGTGCCAAAAAGGGCAGCCCTCCTCACTTTGTGTCAGGTGTGTATTTGGAGTTGTGTTAGGGTACCCCGCCTTGGAGTTGTGTGGAGGGAAAACAAAAGGATGTTCGGGGTCCCCCTATTTTGACACACACCCCATTTGGAGATGTGGAGCTTACACAGTCAGCTCACTTACTGAGTCGTTGGCTGCCTGTCAAGCCAACGTATAGAAGCCGCCACAATCCGTAGCATAGCTCCAAAGCCCATACCTGAAAAAGGCATTGGAATTGTGGGAGAACCAATCGGGCGGCCACCTGGGCAATCACGCCCAGTCTGAAAGGGGGGGGTGTTGCTTTGACTCGTTGGGCAAACGCCAGGCGAGCTCGGGAAATTTACTTTTGGCAGGAAACACAAGGAACCTGAAACAACCACAAGCCATGCATCGTGAGCTCGTTTTACCAGCCATGGACACTGACATACTTCAAACCCCTGTCAAATAGGTAGGGCTAAAGAGCCCCACTACCCCGACATCAGTGGTCACCATCCCACCTTTTGGGTGAGCATTTTCTACCAAAACAAAAGTTGAGCTCGTGAAAAATGCCCAGAGCCATGCTCCGCGTGGCTGACAGGAGCCGATGTCAGACCTATGGCTGGAGATGCGCTCGGCAGAGGCCATATGCAATAGCCAGCACCAGCCGTGTCCATTTGCCTCGCCCAAAAATTCAGCATGGAACCTTGTTGTTTTGGGACCGACCCTTCTTTCTTAAACGTGGTGAGACGGGCCTGCAAACGGTGGCATACTGAGGGCTGGAAAAATATGGCGGGCAATGCTTGGATGAACATGAATTAACAATCCCGCCCAAAAGGAGGATTCTTCACTGACCCAAAACGGATCCCTTGCTTCCAAAAGAGGCTTTCTTCACTACAAGAAGAGGGGCTGAAAGAGGGAATGGGTCCCTTGTATTCAACCAGGGAATTTGTCAAAAGCAAGCCCTGATGACAAGTGCACTGGGCGGCCAAGTCGAGCTGTCTGAAGGAAAGAAACCTGGGATCGCTCCAACAACCGTGGCAAGCACTTCTCAGTTTGTGCGTGTCATCCGTGCACAAGGTCCAGGCAACGCTTCTCTGCACCCGTCCAATTTAGTCGGATGATTGCCGCTTCGGTACGACCAGATTCGGCACATGGAAATTGCGTTCTTTGGGAAGCACCCTCCGTCCACTCACGTTCATTGTTGGGTTAGGCGTTTGTTTTGGTGTATCTAACAAGTGGATCGATCCCATGTTTGCAAGTTCCTCTTCTTGTTTCCGGCGCTTGCGAAATGCGCGGCGTTCCTTCAAGAACGCTCTCAAGTCCAGGCTATTTCTTCGATTCGAGTCCAAAGCAAATCGAGTGAACCTTTTGCATTTCCAGGTCCATCAGTTAGCCAGGTTTGGCCAGGCCCATTCATCAGACATCAAAACAATACAAACTCGTGGAGGCCGCTACTCACCAAGTTCTCATGTCAGAAGCTGGATCAATCAATTGTGGCGACGGGTAGTGTTGGGAGCAGGGGCCAAGAAGTGTCGCTTGTGCTGACACCATTTGAGTTGATCCTAACCCGCGGCAACTATTGAATATCAGCATCTTTTTTCAGGTACCGGGTTCTTGCCTGGGCGCATGCAAGCCTTCCAATTACAGGCGACATTACCGGCAGCCACAGCTAGGAGGCTGAGTGTGATTAGTGGGGATGCTGCCAGTGCAGCCGCGCTCCTGGCCGGTGGTGCTTGCCATTGTGGGGTGCTGCGGGCTTGGGGACACGAACAATGATCTTTGGTTGTCCATGTTTCCCCCTTTAACAGTGATAGAAGGCAGTGTGGCTAGTGGTGCAGTGATGAGTGGAGATGCTGCTGATGCAACCGAGCTCCTGGCTGGTACCTTTTTGTGTATTCTGGGGACCATTTAGATGCTGTTTGCTCGGGGTAGGAGGGACTAGCTTTTCTTACAACGGATCACGTTGATAGAATCTGATAGAAACCCTCCTTGCTTTTGCAGCATCGCAAAGTGCTGAGTTCCAGTGGGTGTCCGCGTTTCAGGGCGAGCATGGCAGTCAAAGGGGTTGCCTAGACCGAGTGCTGGCAAAGTTTTCTAATGGCTGGGTCAAACTGCTCAGGTTTTGTTTGGTATCGCTTGCAAACATGGCTGCAATTGTCAGGCAAGCTCCAGACTTGCTCTCGCTTTGGAAGGCTTCACTGAAGAGCACCCTTCGCTGGCATCAGGGCCAGCAGCGGCTGTTCGCGTGCTCTGGAAGCGACTGAAAGCGTTTCCCATGCCAGCAGAGCGCAAGTCAGTGCCAACAACACCAGAAAGACGACATGCACGCATGGAGTTGCGTTTCGTGTCAAAGGTCCAAAAGGCACGCATAGGACCTTTCCTTCATCGCGCGCGGACTTTTGACATGAAGGCAAAACTAATGCCGGCAGACTGCCTTTGTACGGCATTTTGATGATGCTGGGGGATGCCTGGTGATGCTGGTGGTGCTGGACAGGCGCCCAAAGGAGGAATTGAACACCCCAAGGTGCACACGGGCAGCAAGTGAACTCCCCGAAACCCGAAAGAGAGCCAATTCAACCATCTGGGCCCCGGGTCAATCTGAACTTGACGTTGGGTTAATGATCAGCGCTTTGTAACTCAAAGCCATTGTCGTGCGGCATGGGTGCTTACGCACACCTCAAGCGGGTGCTAGCGTTTTTTAAGGGTACCTATTCAGGTTGGTTTGGAAACCCTCATTGGTTTAAAGTGGCACGAGCTTGGGGATTCGAACCGCTGGTTCTTGTTGAGGGTCAATGAGAAGCCTCAAAAAGAAGCCGATTGTCTTAAAGTTAGCTAGAAGCAAAGCCAATCAAATGGTCTCACTCGCCCCCTTTTGTAGGCCCACGCGCAGCTTCCGGCGTCAGCGGTTCGGCCAGAGCTGAAGCCATCACGACAGTGGAGCGTGCGAGACTTGCCATGCACCTCACTCCCCCGACTAGCGGACTTCAAACGCTTGTGACGGTTTGTGGCAAACCACAAGTTTGAACTTGGAGTGGGTGCTGTAAACGTTCGAAAGGGGAGACTTGAGTGGCAAACCAAAAGTGTTTGGTAACTTTTTGTTGGCCAATGCGCTCAGGGCGTGAGGTTGTGACTACTGGGCACCCTGTCTTTTCTGCTGAACCCTTAGTTGATTGATAGATTACTAAGCATGTGTCTCCCTGAGCAAATCCGGAGACGGCTGCAAGGTTGCTTCAAGTCCGGTAGTTGGATATTCATATACAAAAGAGGCATTGGGGTGTTTAACGGGACACCAAGAAACAATCACGAAGGGGTCTAGCTTTGAGAAACGGCGGTTGGGCCCCCACAAGCCCCAAGGAAAGGTTCCAGAACCCTTCCTTCTTGGAACCTCGTAAGAATCTTAAAGAAGGCTCGAAGAACTGGTTCTTGTGTGGGTGGGGGGGGGGTCGTGGGTCTTTCTCCTACGTAGATACGGTGTATTTGGAAAGGCCTTCTTGATTAAGATACATGTTCAAATAAAAATCCTGTTTATATTCAGCTGCTGTCCTTACTTCAATTGAGTTGTAAAGTAAAGCTGTATTTGGAAGGTATCTCCTATTTGGACTATTTAGAAGAATATTGTTTGCCGTTTAAATTCTAAATAAGTCCTGGTGGTGGGTTCAAAGAAGTAATATCTATGTGCTTTCAAGTTAAAACGTAAAAAACAATAAACCAATTGTTGTTCAAGTTCCATTTTGAAACAGAACTTATGATTGGATTATGTCCTTATCAGGTTGTGCATGCATTCTAGTTGATTAAAATTTGAACGTCTATGTGGCAAGGGGTCTAAATTCATATTTCAACTGAAATCGGTTGGATTCAGAATAGATCTGGTTCTTTTTGACAGTAGGCTTCAATAACACACATATTTATACTAATGCAGTACTAACGCATATTTAAGATCTAATTTGGATACGAAGGACATTGAGCTTGTTCCTTATCGACGTTTATTTAAATTCGCAATATAGTTCAGTTAAAAGTTATATTTGGAAAGGACAACCTGTTCAGATTGAATTTAACATAAACTATTTCTGTGTTCTTATTTTATTTAGATTCTAATTACACTATACGTAATCGTTTTTTTGTTTTGCGACCTCAGACCTTGATTGAGGTCAGGGTTGTCTTTTTGCGGGACCACTTCGGGTTTTATCAGGCTGGCCTCAAAACGTTTGCACTGTTCCCCAAAAACCTCAAACATGTCTGCAGAGGTAACAAGAAACAAAGACAATCCTGAGGTGTCTTGGTTTGTACCTGAAAGGTCTAAGAAGCTTTGCGGGTATCACCTTCAAGTTGTGATTCACGCAAATGATAAACACCCAAAACAGCAAAAAACGGAGGCCAGCTTCTCATCATGTCCCTCTCCATTTTTTGGTACTCCTTTTTGTGGTGAAGCGAAGGAGAACTGTCCTTTTGGGCTCCAAATCCCTATTTTGCGGATGTTTTCCGAGGAAATCTCACCCACGAGCAGGAGCTCTTTGATAAAACCAGCGGGCTGCGATCCATGCGCCTGGAGCCACTCGGCTTGGAAAGATCCCCTAAATGCCCAAAAGGAGAAGGTACCCCCTAACCTCCCAATCCACCAATTAGAGGGAAGCTTGTCAAAGGCAATCCATCCTTGCCTTCGGATACAAAAGGGAGTCCCCTTGAAGTTTTCCAATAGGGGTTATGAAATAGGATTCGCCAAACTCCATTTTGAACAGCCCAGTTTTTTCTGGGCCCAGCCGGCCATTTTTCGGGGTGTTCTCAAAATTACACGCTTTTTAATGGGTGGGAAATCTCTGTAAACCCAAATGAGATAACTTTAATGGACCCAGTTTTTGTCGGCTTGAGATGTTCCAGCCCAAACAGCTGTTTTTCAAAACGGAGTTCAAGAGACACCACTAATTTTGGGGTTAGACGTGCTATTCCTCAAAAAATGGAAGCCAACCATTTTGGGGGTCGCAACGTAGAAATAAGCTTGTTTTGGGGCGGGCTGGACCCAAAAAAGATTGTAACCCAACAGAAGAAACGGCACCAGGGCACTCTTTCTAGGTCCCTTTTAAGTGCCCTTGGACTTTATGCGGGAGGGAGGGGGGGGGGGGGGGGGGGGGTCAAATAGTCCCAACCTGGTTTTATCTCCAGGAACGGAAAAGGCAGCAGGGAAAGCTCGGGCAGGGAAACCTGTTGAAGGAAAGGTTTTGGGATGATGCGCGAGGGGAAGCCAACGGGAAAACACGTATGTTCTTTGGGGGGTCCAGTTTCATTTTGTTGGTACAGAAGGCCAACCGGCTTGAGAAGGTCCTTCCCTCTTCCCGGCGGTTCAGAGGTGGCAAGAGTGGCTCATGTTGAGCGCGAACCGGGGCGGGCATCAGCTGAACTTCCATCAAGTGCAGACAAACGAGAGCTGAGCATTCGCAACCAGAAGCTAGTGCTCCAGATGATGGAGGTGGCGCCGAACGTGATACGGGATCCGCAAGCTACGATGAGATTACTACTGTGCTTTGCTTATGTTTGCTTATGGCGGGCCCTTGGGATGTCACCCACTTGGCCAGTGGCGAGTATTCACCTGTGTTGCAGCTAAGTCTGCGGTGGGGTATTGGTGCTTTGGGTCACCATGTCAGTGTACCGCTTGTAGGAAAGCCGCCCTTTTGGGGAGCTTCCCCAGTTTGAGACCAACCCATTTGGTATTGTCTTAAGTTTGCGCTCCTCGCCAAAGCTTTGGTAGAACATATCCGAATCATGGTTTGGGGATGTTTAGGCTTGAATGTCGACCGAGCTGCTCCTTCTGTTGCTTGTCGCGCGCATTCCCCTCTCCCGCTTTTCGTCTTGGTCCAATCATTGCTTCTGTTAAAAGGTGGCAAAGCCCGTGTGTTTGTTTACTTTGATGGCAAAGTAACCTGGGGTAAAACAAAACGTTCGGACGGTGGTCGAAAAGTGCCGCTTTCCCATGCCCATCTTGAAAGGACTCTCCCACCAAGTAAGTAAATTCCACAAAGAGGGTACCCTCAAAAGCAAATTATCCTTTAGAGCAATGACGGTTTATGTCGGGTCAAGGCGGGCAAATAACTATCATCGCCCTCTTTTCAACAATCATGGAAGGGCAAGTTTTGGGGTTTCCCTAGAGGGAATTGTCTTCCAAAGCAAGCCTGTCAAAATACCGTCATAAAGGAGGGTAAGTGAAGCTCGAATGACACCCTAGCTTTAAGGCTGCTCGGGCTCCAGGCGACAAAAGCTGCTGGAGCAGGAGGCTGCAAGCGAGCACAGCCTCACTCAGCTGAGGCTCGCGATGGGAAACGGTTCGCGCCAAGTTTGTCGCAGGCTGACCGCCAAATCCCCCGTAACATGAGTTGCGCCTTTTGCCGGCTTGGGTGTCCTATATATTTCTGTATTCCCTTTTAACCGGAGAGAAGTGAACTTGTGCCGGGGGCCTAAGTCTGCCCAATTCAACGGGGGGACCATGTTCCTCAACTTTCCGCGCAAATGAAAGACAGCCACAAACTCTTTTTGACAAATCATGGGAATCCCCAGATCAATAACCCCTGGTTGATTAAAAGGGACGTACCCTTTTCGAGGGAGTCCATCATTTTTGGATAGCACCCTTGATTTATCCGGGGTCAACATGTCAATGGAACCCCTAAAAGCGGCTGTCTGCACTTCTCGGGTTCCGTTATTTCGCGCAGCAGGTGTTAAATGGCAACCATTTCGTTGCGCAAGGTGAAGCTTGTCGCAGCGCGGAGCTTGTGCTTGTCATGCAGGATGCTTCACACCAGGGATGTCAATCGTTCAAACACGCGAGGAACAGCTCCAGGTCGTTTACAGGGAGCACTGGTTCGCACCCCCCCCCATTAAGATTGTTTGGGCAGGGATTGGCCCGCAGCGCCCGCAGCACCCTGGGCCAGGCCGTTTAAACGTCCACACGTTCTAAACGGGTATAAAACGATTGGGCAGGCCCACAGCCAGAGTCTGCAGCCGCCAGGGTCAACTTCGTTTATACGCTTAGAGTGCGGCCAATGCTGAAAACGTTTGGCATTTGGTCGTCCCAGCCCTGCTTCACACATAAACAAAAGGAACACAAGAGCGATCTTCTCCCATTTCCATGGATGATTCGATCCGACATGCCAAACAAATACAATGAGTACTCAAGCCAATCCCGTTTGTTGGAACATGTGGGAACAGGCAATCTTCACCATGTCTTACATCATGTTTTCATGGTATTATCTGAGATACCCCTGTTTATCCCCAATCCTGAGTCAAAAAGGCATGGAGGGCGGAGACAAGAGGCAGCCAAAGCAGACAGAGCTGTTACTGCCGTGGGACGCTGAGCCTTCACAGTCTTGACCGGCCTTTTGGGGCGGACCCAACCCCTCCTGGTGAACGAGAACGACAAAATGTTGGGCCAATCGTCCTTAAGCTGCAAAGGATTGGTGAACGAAGTCAGTTCCTGTGAACGTCTCCTTGTGAACGAGATATATCCTCCAGCCGCAAGGGGTAAATGTCACTCCCTGAGCTCCTGGACTTGATATTATTTTGGAAGATATTTTGAGTGGCAGCAACATGTTTGGGCTTGTTTTGGCCGATCCACTCAGGAAGCGAGTAAGTGTGAGGGTATATAGCCTTTTTGGCGGTTGGTTTAAAGGGAAACCACTATTTTGACACATCCATATAGTAAGAACAGCAAACTCGGGGCCCAGTTCTTCGCGTCAGGCGGCTGTGGCTTGGCGAAATTCGTTGGTGTCCTCCCAGAGCCTTTAGGCGGTTTCAGGTTTGGGTGCGTTTCCACTCCCGTCTTTGGAGCATCCATGAATTTCAATTGGGTCCTGAAGTTGTGAACCGTTCCCCCCAGCGACAGCTATGGTCGAGTCACCAATCCTGGGGCGGCCGGGCTTTGGGGTTCAGAGGCTAAAGAGGATACTCCTTGGCTTATTTGGGGCGAGGGGGATCCTTTCAAATCAACCAACAGAAACAAGCACGGGGCACCTCTTTTCCCTGTCGTGAGGTGTGATGGTTTCATGGCCACTGGTCAAGTGTTCCGATGATAATAATTGTGTTATGTTGTGTTTATGCTTGCAGGGAGAATCAACATGCTGCGTACTCAACTTGCCGCTCCTTGCTCGATTTAGGAACCTCTTGTCTGCAGTGCTTTCAACAGAAAGCACATTTGGGATTCGATTTGTGTGGATGCTTTCTGCATTTAGGAACTCCTTTGTGAAGGGTGTTCCAACTATTCTTCGGACACACCCAGTTTAGTGCGTGGCATATGCTCGGTGCCAGGGAGGGTAGATTCTAGTCACCGAACTTTGACCGTCCCAGTTTCATGGGGCTTTGACATTTGATTGTTTGGTCCCCTTTGGGCAGCACCGACAGACGTGCTCAGAGGTGTCCAAGCGAAGCAGAGCTCAACCCCCGGTTCTTGCTTGTTGCTATCGACCCAGTGTGACTCGTCCAGATTCACGGGGAATTGCACATGCCTATCCCTCTTTGGGGCTCAGTCCGAACCAAAATACTCCAGCCAACCATTTTTGAGGGTGGTCCATTGAAAGTCACAGCCATATCTGCAAATCCCATCCAGTGGCCATGAGCTTAAGCAGAAGATATCAAACAAGGAACAAAGGGCACCACTGAAAACCTGAAAACCAGTGCGAACCGCGGTCGTGGGGAGTGGAATTCACTTCTGTGAGAAAACAACAAACACGGAAAGTGGTTGGCTACTGACTCATTTGCCAAGACGGTCCAAGCCATCATTGCCCGTTTCGCCTGCCCAAAGGACCTGACAAAAGGGGGGATGGACAGCGGTCTCGGTTTAGGTTTCGTAGGGGAAAAGAATCTACCGTCAAATACCCAAGGCTCACCAAAGAGACGAGCCTCGCCGGCGGCGAGCCGGAAGGACACATATGGCAAAATTGTGGGGCGGGGGACAGCGGTTGGTTGTAAGCAAGAAGCAAAGGAATTCTACTATCTAGCGGCTCGACTGGTTTTGAGAAAACCCAAATGATTGATGCTGCTGCTGCGTGACATCGTGCATGAGCACGTCAGGAGACTGGCATTCCTGTCTATGCGCTGCCGAAAGTGCTGTCAAGCAATCGGCAGAGATGATTGAGGAGGCAAACAAGCCAGCATGCCGCATTGTTCTGCACAGATGAGAACAAGCTTACCTGAGGAGGGCGCATGTTGTTTTTTGTTTTGTTTTTCTTCTCGGGCGTGGGAAATAGAGTAATTTGCCCAGATGGTTTTGTGTCGCGCCACAATCTTTTGGAGCCTTTACCCTGGATGTTTTGGAAAGGTGTGTCCATTGAACCTGCAGAAGGTTTATGGGAGTTGCTCAAAATGGCGGGACACCGACCACTTTTAGGGATCCGTATTTTAAGACACCCTATTAGTTCTGTTGTTTTTTTTTCCTCGGGGGGGAGGCGAAGATTCTTCCCACTCACCCACTCCGAGTTCAGGTCCAGGCATCACACGTATCGAGATGTTCGTGTGGCACCCTTGATCCTTGTTGTTTCATTTGCTTCCGCAGCGGAGGCAAACAACCCGGCCCCTGCTTGAGCATGTGTTCCAGGCCAATTGTTGAAATATCCTCCTTCCGGTGTCCCTTTTTTTGGTGGCCAGTGTATGTTTTGACATTAGTATAACATTGGTATCAAATTGGTATACAAAAGTGTAGAAGATTTGAAATTAGCATAAAATTAGTATAACATTGGTAGAAAGAGTTGCTGTTAGAGGCAGGCCCTAAAGAACCAGCAAATATAATTAAGTTGGACGTATGAGATTTACACCTAATTAAAATGAACGAGACAACAAGAAAGCTATTTGCAAAACATGGTCATTAAACACTTAGACTTGGAATTAGTCGGTTTAATACTTCCAGTGCATTATCTCTCTCTCTCTCTCTCTCTCTCTTCTGCCTTGCATCAGCTGTTTCCCAGAGTTGCGACAGAATGATGGAATTCAGAATGGACATAAATCGAAAGGATCGAATGTGATGAAAGGACTTGAACACTAAGGATCGGAAATGAAGATAGATGAGCGATAATTTTTTGGACACATCTCGACGTATATCGTGGTTTGATCTATGCATATCTTTCTTAATAATCTACTTTACATGAAATAAGAACTATTGTGTTGACAATCATTAAGATAATAATAGTCAAGAAGCAGACAACGATTGAAATATTGAATTAAGAAGCCGATGATACTAGAAATAATAAATAGTAAGATTAAGAAACAAAACATGAGATGCACAGATATGAATAAGATAAAAAGTGTGGACATGACCAAGAAATTCATCCACTACCCCACATATGCTTAACTCCATCTCTTGTCTCTATGTACCTCTCCAGAGTTTTCAAGGTGTGAAAACAATAAAGGAATGGGAGAGAGAAGAAGTGCAGCGATTTCCTGGTCTGCGTGCGAGAGTCTTGCTATCCTGGCTGTGCTTACAAGGATCATTGACAGCATACCCAACCACTCGTTCACCATCTCTTCATTGCAGTTGTTGAAACTAGTGAAAAGAAAGGAGATGAGGAGAGATGGGCCATCACTCTCTTCGCTAGCTCCGGCACGAGAATCCTAAGATGAGACAAGATGGGAAGGGAAGCTGATTTAGCACCCAGAAACGCAGCCGAAGGGATTCTCGGAGGCTTTGGAAGTGCAGCGGCAGCTGCAGCGAAACGCGGCGCAGCTGTTGCCGGGGCCGGAGCTCCTGCAGGGCAAAGAGGACGTCCAGGAGGCAATCGAATCGATTCTACCGCCCAACTTGAAGTGGTGGCATTTTGAGGGGATCTCAAAATTACGTTTGATGGTTCCCTTTTAATTTTCCATGAGGGAAATTTTGAGGACACTTGAATGGACCCAGCAAACTACCGGTTGTTTGGATTTTGCGGTGTCCCCTTGTGGGTGTTCACTTTTGGAGGGCCCTTTTCCCTAAATAGGACGGGGTCATCGAGGTCAACAGTAGTGCCCTTTGCTGTTGTTTGAGGGGGTTGTCCTTGAAATCAACCCACAATTTGGTTGTTTCCTTTTGGTGGTTCACACACCCGTGTTTGTGTTTCAGGCCCATTCGGTGGTGCACCAGCTCAACCAGCAGCTGAAAGATGCTAAGAGGAGGCAAGAGGCTGCTACGTCAGGACCTTAGATCTAAACCCCCGAAAATTACTTCCTTTTTACCTTTTTGTTTCAAGTTTCTGTTTACAACCAACCACTGTTTTTTTGGATTGACAAGGCCGGACTTTGCTTACCTTCTCAATTTGATGCCTTTGTTTGCCTTTGCGGTCTACCTTGATTTTGGAGTATCTTAGTTGAATAATCACGACCATGCCCATGGCAATGCCCATTTGGCTCAAGATGCTGATGCCCATTCTAGTAGAAACAGGGTTTGAGCGTGCGCACCGGTCCGGGGTTAATAAGGGTCCCGGTTTCTGGTTCGCTTGGTTTCTTTCCCTGTTGCGTATCTTCCATGTTACTGGGGTCTCCAAAATGATTCTATATGTTCGGTAGACGAAATGTGACACATGACCTGATTATCCTTTGTAGTAGCATGGGCCAAGGTGGCAAGCCTTTCCTGAGCTTGGCCAATCGGATCAATCTACAGATCCCAAAGCCACAGCAAACGAAGCAACCTGAAACTGGTTCCCTTTTTAACATGGAAATCCACTGAGGGTCTGGGAAAATGCCAGGGCAGGGCTCCACGCTACATTCGCCCACAATCCCAACCCAAAGTCTGCGAATCGCAAAGATCACCATGGAGCCTCAAGGGGTTTTGGCAAACTTGCTGGAGAATTTCCTTGAGGCTCCAGCGGATTAGGAGAATTTCCAGCGAATTTGAATCAAGGATCCGTTTTGGGGGGGGGCCTCAGCTCAGGCGTTTCTAGGGTAACTTCCAAGCAGTCGGATCCGGGGGATCCGGCTCTTCCAAACGAAAACCACCGGGAATAGCGGAGTGTTGAAGGAAGAACAATGGTCGAAATAACTACTCAACCCCAGAGTGTGGCAGGTATTCTGGCATCCAGAGAACATGCTTGAAACGCAGATTCCTGCGAGCTGTGTTTGTCCTGCTGATCGCGTATCGAGGATCGGTTCATGTTAATCAACGAGTGAAAAGGCAAACTCTGGTGCATGCCGGCTTGCATGTTCACGATCGTCCCCCTTTTCATTTAGGTGTAAAGCAGGGCATGACAGCGCCTTCCCAGGTCCTGACCCCCAGCCTCATAGACCCAGGAGATGTTGACGGAGCCTCACCTACCAGCTTTGGAAATCCAAAGGTAGATAAAGGTAGGGCAAGGGGATCATGAGGCTTCTGTGACGTCATTGGCAATTCAAAGCGGATGGCTGTGTGCCTTTGGTTGCCCCAAATATAGGCAAAAGTTCCACTCCAGATCCCAAATATACATACCCTTACATACCCCTCATGACCCCCACAGATTGGAACCTTTCGCTTAATTGGACATTCTTTCTGGTTGGGGCATGGACACCGGGGCACACAGTCCTTACTCATACGCTTGTAGTACTCTCCTAGTTCCAAACCTCTTCCCAGGTGTGTGATCAAGCTGCAAAAGCAGTTGGCCACTGACATGAAGCACCAGAGAAGGAGGCGAGCAGCTGGCCAGCGGCCTTTGGGGCCTGCCGAAGCGCTAGTACTAATGTCTCCTCCTTATGTTTCTAAAATTGAAAGTAGTCTAAATTCTGAAGACAACTCCAGTTTCCAAAAATGGGACATGGATACCTTTTTGGGCTACGGTCTCAATGTGCGATTGCGACGGCGTCCTGTCGATGCACGGCCATGTCGTGCATCTCACCGGGTGCTACAAATGACTGAACAGCGTAGAATGAGTGCTGCGAAAGAGATTTTGTCTAACGGGTTCTCCCTGCAAGCTCAATTCTTGAGATGTTGGAGAAAGTCTATGCCTTGGAAGGAGAAACGGGAAAAGCTGGAGAGTGAATAATGTGCACTTTGGACTCATTCTTGGGACCATACTAATCAGAGAAATCCCCGTAAGCTGGATTGGCTTCCCGCAGAAACAGAGTTTCCCACACCTGATTTGTAATTGTGGTCTTCCTTTCGAGGAATCAATGTTGACATCATTCTGAAATAGGTGTGTCTCCAAAAATGGGGTACGAACTCGAAGGAGACCATCCCCCTCAAAGACAAAAGACGTTGGAGAGTTGAAAGGTAAAGCAACGGAAATCAACCAGCTTTTGAGTCGATGCTGAAGCGGGGCCGCCCATTGGCTTTTCCCGACAAAAACGCAAATGGGATAGAATATATAAAGTGAAAGCAACTGAAACAAGGTTGTCTCACCTGTTCACTACCCTATAGAAGGAAATTCCCGCGTCGCAGAAAGAGCATCCAATTGGTGCAGGTTTTGTCCATCCACAGAGAAAGTGTATCTCGAAATACACCTTCGGATATCATTTACTTGGGGACCAATCTCCGCCAACCGTTTGTGAGTGTGTGCCCAATTGAGATTCATAGCACCCATGCAACCTCCGGCACCCCCACGTGGCAGGCTACAGTACAATGTTGACTGTGAATATTGACAGTTGCTGATGGTGAATATTGACTGTTAAAGCCTAGGATGAGCCACTAGCCGTTATTGCGGGTTTAATATCTATCCTCAGTTCCATGATTTTGCCCCAAAAAATCACTGAAGGGCGCTGGACAGCTTTTCGGTACAGAGGCCTTGACCGGTCCAGCTATTCCAGGGTGGAGCGGCTGGAGCACCTCCGGCGTGAGATCCAAGATCTGGAGCGGCAGCCGCTGCTGCGAGCGCCGCGAGCGAAGGGGTTGGGGTGCCTGAGTGTTTTTGGGTAGAACTAGGTGAGCAATCAAAGCCGATTCGGGTAGATCAAGGATAGTAAGGCCAGAAATAGGTGCGGATATTCACAACTTTGATTCTTCACTCTTCTTGGGCCTTGCGGTTTCTTAGGGCTTCTTGCAAGAGCTCTCTCTGTGTGTGTGTGTGTGTTTGTGTCTGTGTTTCCGGCTCGGTACTCTCTTTTTTGACCTTGGTGTATTTTACATTGGTTTTCAAGGTGGTCCCCCCTGTTTTGACACCTACAACCAATCTGGTGACCCAATCCAAGGGCACCAAATAACCCAGTTGCAACCAGTGGGTTTCCCGGATTTGTGTTGGGGAGGGTGCCCTCCAATCCCTTTTTCCGTATTCTTTTACAGCGCTTTGGATGATTGGGGGCGGAATCCCAAATCCCGACCTATTTCTTGCAGATCTCGACGGCCATAGAGATCAATCCTCAGCTTGGCTTGGTTGCCAGAAGGCCCCCAAAGTGGTGACTTGGAAATGGTCTGGGAGAATCCGCAGTGAAATGGTCAATAGCTCAATAACCCTAGTTACAAGGGTTTAGAAGTGTTCATAAAGGTTACAAACAACTTGACGAATTCCCAACCATCAAAATAGTGTTGATGTTCTTTACTTATAACTTCTGCTGGGACATGAGAGAACGGCTGTTGGCGCCCTTAAAAATGCACAAACAACATCCAAGGAACCTTCAGTTGATCAGTTAATGGTAGTTGTGCTGATAACATATGATCGCCATAAGATGCCAACAATGGGGGTTTAATAGAAGACCAACTAGAATCATGACCGTAACAACAATAAAGGAAGTGATATACAACGTCAGCAATGTAGTAGTAGTAGTAGTAGTAGTAGTAGTAGTAGTAGTAGTAGTAGTAGTAGTAGTACTAGTAGTAGTAGTAGTGGTAGTAGTAGTAGTAGTCGTAGCCGTAGCCGTAGCCGTAGTCGTAGTCGTAGTCGTAGTCGTAGTCGTAGGCGTAGTCGTAGTCGTAGTCGTAGTCATAGTAGTCGTAGTAGTCGTAGTAGTCGTAGTAGTCGTAGTAGTCGTAGTAGTCGTAGTAGTCGTAGTCGTAGTCGTAGCCGTAGTCATAGTAGTAGTAGTAGTAGTAGTAGTAGTAGTAGTAGTAGTAGTAGTAGTAGTAGTAGTAGTAGTAACAGTAGTAGTAGTAGTAGTAGTCGTAACAGTAGTAGTAGTAGTAGTAATAGTAGTAGTAGTAGTAGCAGTTATCTCATGAGAAGCTAATAGGGAACAACGCATCCTGTAACACCTAGTAGTTTAAACTGCAACAGAAAGGTGCCATCTACTTTCTGCAGGGTGTAAATATCTTGCCACTTCGTTGTAATTATTGAGGCTCTTGGGGCAACTACCTCACACCTTGGGACCTCAAAGCTTCCGGTGGGTGCCGCTCAGGAGCTCACAGAAGGCACCTCAGCGAGCGGAGTTCTGCCGCCGGTGGTGCTGCACATCAAGCCCTCGAAGGAGCAGTTTTCACCCCCAAACCGCTATCCCAGCTATCCCAGCTATCCCAGCTATCCCAGCTATCCCAGCTCTTTGGGATATACGCCCACAAATTAAGCCAGCATCAGCCTCAACAGCAATTGCGCACATCAGTTCGTTTCAGTTGGACCGAGACCATGTCAGGGCAGCCAAAATCAAGCTGCCAAGTCAAGAACTGCAGAGAACAAGATGGGGAGGCAAGTGGGGACACAAGTAATCAGACAAGAGATGTGATGAAGAGATTGACAAGGTCCGAGTCAGAAGCACAGGGAAAGAGACAAATGGGGAGACGAGCCGTGACAAGGCCCAAGTCACCCAGCACAAGCAGGGAGACAAGCGGGGAAACAAGTAGGGAGACAGGGGCAAACTATCTTGTCACCGGAAGAAATTATTCGCATGAATAGAGAACCGATAAAGCCACTAGCTAAAGAGTCCACACGCTACATACACCATGTTCCCTTAAAAAATAGGTCTTGGGCAGTGGAAACCATCTTAGACGTATGAGGTTTGGACAGAGTCGCTCGCAGTCTGTTGTCCGTTTGGGGAGGAGTGCTAAGTTTCAGGCAAAACAACCAGGCGACGGCCCCACGTCAATTTCAGCAAGTAGGGAGAGGGTCTTGCCCTGAAGGTGGCTCAAATTTTGGCTCCTGGGTAGGGCTATTCATTGAAGCTTTTGGTCGTGTTGCTGGTGTTAATGTTGAGGAGGGAAATGAGGGAAACATTGCCTGCAGAATTTGAATGACAACTGAACAAGGGGTGCTTCAAAGCGAGATGCTCGGAGGGGACGTTCCCAGCCATAAATAGCACTCGCAAGGCAAATCATCACATGCAAATTTGGTGCGGTCTTCTAGTCCCTGGTGTGACAGACGCCCTACACAAACATGTTTACCCGTATTGGTTCAAAGTTCAGCCAACATTCCCGACAGAGGCAAGTTTAAACCGCTTTTGTGTATGAATTTCGGCGCGTTCTGGAGTTTTCCTAGCGGAAAGCCAGCAGAGGCAACACCCCGCAACACAGTGTTTGAAGAGGACTGTCCGATTTGTCGGAGAACTGCTCTCTGTTGATTTTTCAGGCGAGCAGTGGACAGTTCCAAACACACTAGAGGCACCTTTGGGCTCTTTATCTAAGAGTGGCAGCGTATACCCCTTGTCCACACGTAGAGAGGGATATGGTTGCCAGCAAGTCTTTTGAAAAAAAACAACAGATGTGCAAGCCACTGTCTAAATTCGCTCAAAGAAACAGACCACTGTCTCGATTGTTGGGGAAACTAAGAGGAACATGTTTAAACACTGGTGCTGCATTGACATGCTTAGACAAGGGGGACAACACCTCTAGAATGTCATTGCCTAGGTTGGTTTGGGCCATGTGCCATTCAATCACGGATGTTGAAGCACACGCTTACCCGGTGAGTGACAAGGGCGTTTTGTACCCCTCTGAGTTTTCCTTGAAGCCCAACTAGAGAGGGTTTCCCGAGTTGAAAAAACACTTGAGCAAACACCCTCACTTGGATGTTCTACCTATTCAGGAAGCAGATTCTAAGATTGGCTCTAAGTGGTTGACAAAAGGTTGATTGGACATGAAAGTATGGCAAACCAACTTGAGTTGAACGGCAATGATTGGGAGGAGCTGCTGACGGCGTTTCAGACGCAGCCGTTGCCCTTCAGGTCGGTGCTAGGCCGAAAGTCCGATGGCTCGGAATGGATCCAAAGAGGGCCGTGGGGCCGTTGGTTTCCTTGGGTTTCTTAGGGTGTTCTTGGAGCTTCTTGCTAGTTCTTGAGGTTCCTTGGTTCTTGGGGTTTCTTGTTGGTTACTTACGGTTCTTGATCCAAAAGCAAAACCGACGCGGATAAGTGGCTCGCAAATCATGGTTCAGCACTGGGTTTCCTATTCTCCCTAGTTTCTGGACTTAGCCACTCTTGAACCCTGGGCAACAAAAATCTGCTTTGTTCTGGCCTATCCACTCGGGAAGTGGGTTGAAGAAACATCCTCAGAACTAGAGCTAAATTGCATTTTGGCGCCCCCTCAAAAATGCAACCACTTTGAAGGGCCAAGACGCTGACGATTTCGGGAGCCTCAGGCCCTTTTTGTTTGGTGAGTTCCCCATATGGTCAACCGCCCAAAAGGGCTTCCTTGTTACCAGAGGTCGATTGGCAGTTTCATTGTTGTTCAAGAGAATATGTTTCCCTGTTGCTGCGCATTCTATATTGTGACGTTCTTTGCTACCAACCAAATTGACGTGAGATTCGCCAGGCCTTCCCTGTAAGTTGCGAAGCGGCCATGGCTGGCGAATATGCTTTTTAGTCACGGTAGTAAGATAAGATAAGGAAATGGGCTTGCGCACCGCATTGTGGCAACAATGGCCAAGGAGATCCCAAGAGGGTTGGGCTCCTGCGGCAGTTGCAGGGGCTCAAGTGACAAGGCTGACCCTGATCAGCAAGCAACTACCACAGCGCGACCAGCAGCGGCATCACGCGAAACATCTTGCAAATTATTTTGAGCAAAATGCCGAAGGGCTGCAAGTGAGCGCAGAGCCAGCAGCACAGCGAGTCATTGACGGGGTGCAGAACAAAAACTTTAAAGGCCGCTCCCTGCCAACCGGACAGCCCGGTCGCCAGCAGGCATGAAGGAGCCTGCAAGTGACAACGGGACATCCGCCCCCCAAAAGGGAGGCAGCTTTCGCACACGCTCCCTCAATGGCCGAAAGAATGAAGTCGTGAGGCTGGCATCCGTGCATTCCATCGACATTTTTTGCTTGCAGGAATCCGCCTTTCTCAAGTTAGCTGCAAAACGCGCCGCTGTCCGCAGTGGATGGAACTGGATCAAAGGGACGCATGCCATGGACAGCCAAGGCGCGCGGGTAGCCATCCACCCTTCGAAAGTTAAGCGGGAAGTGTTTCTGTGAAGCTTTACCTCCATGCCTCCAGTAGGACACGGACACATCTATTCGAAGCAGCTAGACGTGACGCAAGGATGGACGAAGTGTCAGCTGCGCAGATGAAGTTGCCAGCCCGACTCACCTACTAGCGAAAAGGGCCGACTGGCAAAGGGCGCCAACCATGACCTTGTATTCTACATCAGGCTGGCTGCAGAGTCCACCTTCCGGGCAGCACCCGCGTATGAACTGGACAGCGGCGAGGTACAGGAAGCGGATTCTCGCAAACAAATGCTTGCCCCACCAAGGGCAGAACCCATGCCAAACTGCCCCGGCCAAGTTGCAAAGTGTGCGTGAGCGGCGTCTTCGGCGCACCCTGCGAAGACAAACCGCAGGCGCCGGCAGGACGACGATGACACAGCTCCGGGGATAAAGGTTCAGACCCAACTTGTTGCCGGCCAATCGCCCGGGCCGCAGCAGCGACAAAAGCTGCGGAGTGCAGTGTGGAACCCAGACTAGACCCCCCCCCCCAGCCGAAAGATGTTGACACCTTCCACCCTTCGCAGGGCCTTGACAAGAGCGAGCCCGCAACAGAGTAAGGCTGTGGAATGGCAGGGAGCAATTGCAACAAAAAGTGATGCGCGAGGGACCTTGCCGGCCTCACGGCGTGCGTCGGCCCCCACAACGCAGATGTCCGTCTTTGTTGACGACAGAACCTTGCGCAGTTCCCCTCTTGACCAATTGCACCCGCGCCTAAGCAGTCTGCGTGCTGCCGTCGGTTTCGCGCTCAACCCCACTACGTGTAAGTTTTTTGCAAAGGCTCTCCAGGGTTCAGGTCCAGGCTTCAGCGCCACAACTGCCCGAAATCCTCAAACTACTTGGATCGCGCTACAGCCTCACAAATGCCAGAGAAGCCCCGCTAAACACAGCAAGTGACGGCGCGCCTATGGCAACGCAGAAAAGCCGGAGGAAGAAGTGACTGGCGCGATCGCTCGTTCACAGCTTTTTGGCGCACGCTGGACGATGGACCACCGCCCGGCTCTTTGGCACCATAGAAGAAGCAATGCCAGCAGGTCGAGATATTATGTGACCCGTGCTACGTCCTGGCGAGCACAGCCTTGCAGGTTGCGCCCAAGTGCCAGGACAGCACCCATGGTTGACCGGCTTCGTGCGCTCGCCGAAGCTCCTGCCGTAACTCCCTCGGTGCAACTGGGTGAGCTGCTTTGAGAAAAGAATTGGAACTTGCTCGCGCAGCATGCCGCACCACTTTCGGGACTGCGGATGTGCTGCGAAAAGGCCATCAAGCGGTCACGCGTGTGAGCTGCGAGGCTAGCTTGTGGCAAGAAGAGCCACGCGCTGGAATGTAGACCGCGCCGGTTGTTCGCACGGGGTGCATATTTACTCATACTAAGGAGCATGCTTACAATCGCAACCAATCATACGCACAGCCCATGACCAAATGCATCCACATCGTGCGCAAGAGCACTTGCAAGAGTCTGCGCAACGACCTGTCAAGTTGCGCGCAGCTGCAAGGAGTTCACGAGCCAGACGGCTGTTCTGGTATTTAGTCGTTTTCGGGTGAGGTGTCGCCTTGTTGGCCATTCCTGCACAATGAACTCGTGTTGCTCCTTGGTGAACGCGGCGCAGCTGCCAAGCCTGTGAGCAAGCATCGCCCGCTGTGACCTGTCCAAGCCCGGACAGCCGATCGTGCTTTAACCAAAACACATTGAGCGCAATCGCCAACAGCCCCGCAGTCTGCCACTAGACGCCCTTGTGGCTCAGGCGTTTCGCAGAAATAAGAACACACACGCTGCAATCAGGAAATGGGGTGCAGGTGCGCTCACCAAATCACAAGGAAAAGTTGTGAGGCGCCGGGTTACGCTCACCAAATAAAATTGGGTGGCGGTTACTTCTTGTAAAATACGGAAATGAGCCAAGCCACCCCTGACCCTCAGAAGGGGTGAGAACCCGTGAGGCCTGGGTGCAAGGGGGTGTAGCCCCAGCTTGTTAGATGTTTTAGTGTTCGTGGATTTTTGCGGGGTTACTCCGACTGCGATTAGAACCCAACCCCAAGGGAATGGGACCAGCGATATGCGAGGAGCAAACCTGAAAGTTTGTTGGGGCTGCAACGAATGGATATGCGTCTAAGTATGGGAAACCCACAAAGACAGAGAATTGGCTTTCCGTCTGGTTTCCTACACCAAAGGTACCCTCAAGAAACAAAATGCCCCAAATCCCAACCTGTCCAGGCCTGCTAGAAGCCGAGTGGGCACTGCACTTCCCGCAAGATGCCCTCACGCTGCCGTTGATGCCTTTCATGCGCCTTTGCCGAAGCGGGTGCCGCGGGTTTCGCGGGTGTTTGTTTGGAGGAAGCTTTGTTTCAAAAAGGCCGGGACCCCCAAACGTGCCCTTTCTCCTTTTCCTTGGTGGGTTATCCTCAGCCAACAGCAAGCGATATGTTTTCTCCGTGGCCACTGGAGATCCAGGAAGGGAACCAAAAGCAAAGCAATGCTGCTTTGGGGATAATGGAAGTAAGCGCCTTGGGTACACTTGGATGACAGTCCGAGTCCTAGGAAATGAGCCAAGACCTTCCCCGTTGTGCAATGCATTTTGCTTTGGAGGAGAGTTCGATTTGGAATGAGCTATGGAAAAGTGTTTTGTGCCCAGCCACTGAAGGTTCTAACGGGGTCGTTTTTGGAGGTACTTGTTTTTTTTGGGGGGGAGGGGGTTCCTTTGGGAGCCGCAGCCCAACTAGTCAAAGGGGCACCAAAACCCTTTAAAGGGATCTTTGATCTTTTAACGAGAACCCTGGTTGTTTGAATCGGGGGGTGTCCCAGTTAAGGGGGAATCCTCTTCCAAGAAACACCCCAGGGCCGACCTTCGGGAGTTTCCCTTAGGTTTAAGAAGGGATGCCCGTGGCCACAAACCGAGGTCAGCCTTGCAGGCCCGTGCTCCCCAACGAGACCCGGTTCTGCTCTTGCTGGGCCGCGAGGGGACGAGCAGGCAAAACCGCGCGCGGCTCGCGGATGGCTTTGGGATTCCGCCGGAAAGAGTTGCTGGATGTTTAACGATCGGGGAAGAATATGAAAGAGAACTTACCGGGACCTGAAAAGGGTTTGGTGCCCTTTAACCTTTCCTGATCGGTGGCGTTTAAAGAAATCCCCGCAGGAACAACTACACCCCATGCAAACGTTGAGACTCTGAGCACCGCCAAATCGACGAATCGACGGGCTTCCTTTTCTCAACCCCTACCTCTTGAATTTTGCCCACCGTCTGTTTCTATTCCTCAATCCGTTTGTTTAACCCTGAGCAGCAACCTTGTTATTGACGCGGCAGGTACTTCCAGGTCAATCTTCCAACTGCAGAGGCGATCATGGCCTATGCCCAACGACCGCCGGATGCAGCAACTGGACAAGACATTCAGTGCATGTGTGCCTACTGTGTGGCGAGCGGTTCCTCTGCGATAGCCGTGATGTGCTTGGGAATCCCATAGCTCAGGTTTTATAGATGGGTGTCTTTAAGGCTTTCAGTTTGGCTGATGAATTGCAGTGGTGAGACTCCCCTAAGGTTGGGGGCTGTTTCCTAGAATGGTTTCCACTTGGGTGCCCCTCGCCCTCGACTTGAACAGCACGCAAAAAGAAGTGTCCTTGGAGACATATCCAAACTGCGGGCATGGGCACTGCTTCGTCCATCGAGGCTTGAAGGTCTGTCAGAAAACAAGAGGTGCAGGTTCAGTGGGCCCCAGCCAGGCAAGCAGTGACCACAGCCTTTCCCATCCCTTGGGTTGTGTTCGGTATCTGCAGCGTTGGAGACAACAGCAAAAAGAGGCTCCCTTTTTCCGTGGCCACTGGTGGAAAATTCACACGCCCCCTTGGGACGCTGGTGACACTAGTAATGACTGCCGGAAAGCGTAACTACGCTCTCGGTGGATTCAAACATCGCCTTCTGCTGCTAACTTAAAAGGAGTTCACTCTTGGGGCGATGTTCAAAAGAATAATTTGTTGGGCTTTGCTTTGGATTGTACTATTGGCTGTGTGTCAACCGTTGCACCCTTTTGGGGCCTAGCACAGATCATGTTTCAGACGGTCCAAATGTTTGATTTGGCTTCTACGTAGGGACCCTTGATGAGATAGCTTTGCGGGAAACTTCAAGGAAATTTAACATTTTGGCAGTTCCTGCATGTTGAGACATGTTAGACAGCTTGGGGTGTTGTGCTGCGCGCGTGTGTGTGTGTGTGTGCCGTGTTGCGTGCGTGTTGCACCTCCGTTGTGCCTCCGTTGTGCCTCGGTGTTGTGCCATACTCCATGTTGTGCCCTGCCGCGCGCAAGGGGTGGCTGTCAGCATGTCAAGCAACAGGACCATGGCCTAATAATTTAATGGGAGGTGTTGCAATCGCGAAGATGCTGGTCTTCCAGGACATTGTGGTGGTTCGACTCCACACTGTGAGTGTTCGGTTTTCGGTTTAATTTCATTTATGTTTGTAGTGTCCGTCGTCCGTTTCGTTGCGCGGGTTTTCGTGCGGTCGCCATTCGGCTTTGCCATTCATGCATGCCATGTGTGTTTGCTGTTGTTGTTTGGCACCGTTGTTGTTCGCTGTTGTTCGTTGCCGCTGTTCTTCACCATTGTTGTTTGCCCTTGCTTTTCGCCTTTGTTGTTCTGCATGTGTTGTGGTGCGTGTGCAGGGGTGCATGCTTCAGACATGGACCAAGTTTGAAGCAGCAAAATGAAAGAACATCTTGAATACTCCAAAGCATATGTTCACGCTCGGTGTTATTGTTAGTCTACCCAGAACATGAAATAGCCATAGCGTTTGGGGAGACCCCAAAAATCCAACATGTCCCAAAACGTTGGTAGCAGCAAGTCTCACACATGTGGAGACGCTCTCGAGTTCAAAAAGCTTGACATCCCGTGTTCATTTGAACACAGAGCATCGGGTATCTTTTGTGATTAATTATATACACACCGTCCGTTGTTTGCTCTAGCATTGAGTAAACACATTGTCAAATTGTTTCTTGTCGAAACAAAAATGAAACCCATTGGGTATTGGGTGTTTGTTTTGGTTTGAATACATACGTGTATGTACAAATATATATATATATATATGTATACCATTGATTTTCAAGCATGCTTGTCTTAAGCAACGGCAGAAGCCATGGGTTGTGTTTTGTTTGATCTTTCTTGGCTCGGCACCAGACACCCCGAGTCGGCCAGGTGCCAAGCTGCATCGATTTGCTTCGCAGCCTGACTGGACTTGACCCTCAGGCGTGCGCTGTGCAGCTGGTTTTTCGGGAACCCCCCTTTTGGTTGGCTTTAAGGAACCCAAAAGAAACCAGCCATTTTGAGGGGTTCCCTAATTGTTGGTTGCATGCTAAAACAAAATTGCTTGTGCCTTTCGGATTGTGTCATGTGACATGTGTTTTCTCGAAGCGAATGATTCATTTGTTTGATGTCTCGAGTTTGTTGGTCCGGTTTTTCGACGCGCAAGTCTCAAAAACAGGCTCGGTTGGAAAAATGTCGGGCCCTTTTTGGCATTGATGGTTTGTCTCCCCCATCTTAGGTTGATCCTTATATCGCCATCACCAGCTCCGCCCACTCTCCCCTCCCACACCCCTTCTTGCCAGCCTTCCCACCCACCCATTGCCACCCACCCCATTCCCACCCACCCAATTCCCCGCCCGCTCACCCGCCCACCCACCCACCCACCCTAGCGTGCGCGCGCGCTGCTGGTGAAGTTGGCGAGGATGCAGATGATGTTGGCGGGGATGCTGGCGACTGTCGGGGCCGATTTGCGCGGTATTTAAGTGTTTTTTGAAGGTTGGGCAACGCGGCATCAGGAGCCCGTTGCAAGGCCAGGGATGCCGGGGATGTTTTGGTCCAACTGTTTGGGCTGGCCTGCGTGCAGGTGACGCAGGGGATGCTGAGGAGGAGCTTGAGGTGCAACAAAACACGTCAGCGGTATGCGCTACGGGCAGGGTTGCCCTCGCTTTTCAAGCTCGAAGGCTCACAGCGCAGCTGAATTTTGAATTTGTTTGATTTGGTTGACTTGTTGCCTTTCACTATTGTTTCGGTGTTTTTTGGCTGATCGTGTGTCTCTGTTTTTCAGGTTCATCATGTTATCGTTAAAGATAGTCATCAAACAATGCAGTGTGCACAACAACCAAATATACTGCACCGTCGAGGGCCCGCCCTTGACTTCACCGTGCACCAGAACGTCGTCTCAGCGTAGACACCAATATAGTCCCGCAATATGGCCATGGAAGATGATGATCCGAAGTGAAGGCTACGATCTTATTGATCGGGAACCTGGCCATGACGCCGACTGCTTTTGGGACTTGAAGAAGAAAGAGAGCGAAGATCTTTGGAACAGAATCTTGGGCAAGGATGAGGTGCATCAGGATGCTGAACAATACGCTTCAGCACTTAAACTTGAACTGAATTCTATTCAAGTGGATGGCAACCGTGTCAAGCTTTATGGCAAGGAAGGCGTTGAGAGTCAACACGACGGGTGGTATAGCGTTGAGGCTGCGCGAGCCAAAAGGGCTCACGAAGCTGATTCGCGTGATTCAACCAGTACAAAGCGTCTTGAGCAATCTCGATGAAGCTCGGCTGATTGAGCTCATTGAACATCAACATTGCGCTGTGCTGAAAAGGCTGATGGCATCGCGTTGATTGATGGCGAGATTTGAGCATGCTTGCAAGTCATTTACTTGCGAACAGTTGATGCATGATCGATGATGTTAGCTTTGGCTTACAATGTTATAATCAGAGTGCGATCCGTGTATAGGGGTCAAAGCTCGTGCAAACTCGTTGTTAGCCGTACTACATCTTATAGATATATGTTCAACCTTTCGTTTGATTAGCTCATATCCGGTCCGGTGTGCGCGTTTGAGCCATGACGGACATGAAGAACAAGGAGGGTTCTAAGCAATTCGCAATGGTAGAGCTCCCCATGCTCGAAGAGCCTGAGGAGGCGGTCAGCGCATCGTTGAGGGCATGGATGACGCAGCATTCTGCTTTCGAAACTTCCTACACCGAAACATCAGGTCTGGCACTGACGGCGAATCGGCTCGAAGTTTTTGTTTCTGAGAACAAGCCTTTTCGCTACTAGCCTCCGGCAGAGCCAACTATCCGTGAAGTGCCTGCACGTGTGAACTGCAGGATAGCCACACGCGGAGTTATCCGCCGTGATTTGTGCTACCGGCCGACGCGAGCGTCGAGCCACATCACCTCCTACTCAATTCGACCTCTCGGAGCGTTGTCTGCAGATTTGTTACAGAGGTCATATTCGGCCTACGGCATTTTTACGATTGAAGCAGGAGGAGTATTGGTCGCAGCAGATCGTGTCATTCAGGCACAGACATGGGCCCGTGTTCTCACGACCCTCGGACTCGACCACCCCAGAAAAGTCGTGTTCTCCTACCCATGGTCGGTGGCGATCAGCAATATGTTTGCCTTCAGTCCGACTTCCGGCTCCATCAGGCTTCCATGCTTCTTCCATATTACGCACTTATGAGACAGTACTTGGACACAATGGGCTAGGCTTTGGGCCCCAAGCCTATCGGGCCGCTGGCCCGAAAGGCGCTGCATCGCTAAGTAGCATAGCTAGGCCGGCGCTGCATTTTCTCGGCAATGCTGTTGCAACTGTTTTCCCCGCCAACGTGTGCTCTTGCATGAGGATTCCCACTTGTTATTTCGACTTATTTTGCATTCTGGTCCTCGCTTCCTTTCGCTGAACTGGAACTTTTTGCTTCGCACGGTGGAATTCACTTATTGCATGTCTCCATGGAAGTCTTCTTGGCTTGTGTCATCCCACTCCTGCACAAATGGTTATGGATGGCAACGTGCTGCTGCTGCTGCTGCAGCTGTTTGTAAATCTGGCTTCTGGCCCCTGTTGATCCAGTTGCAACCTGCTTCCGCAGTTCCTGTAAGTCCCCCAGGCAGAACTGACCCCACCTCCACTCCTAAAACACAAAACCAGCAAACCAAAGGAGTGTTTTTTTCTACATGCAACCGTTTCCTAGCAGTGTGGATGGACAGAATCCACAAATGTCCCAGGTGGGACGGACAGATTCCTTTAAGTGCTGGCTCAGAAACCACTAGTCTCAAATTGTGCCTGCAATGGATTTTGTTCATCCACAGCATCCTGTCGTATTGGGTCCTGGCTACCCCGTACGACTGATCAATGTGGACCCACCTCACTCTCACTCGCTGCTTCGCTCCTTCGGGGCTCCATGTTGCTGCGATGTTGAAAGGGGAGGTGAGGCTCACTTCCTAGATCCTCTGGATTTTATGTTTTTGGGAAGACCGTTTTGGCTTCGACTCGGGGAGTGAGGAGGAAGCCCTGACCAGGTGTTGGTGCACCGCAAGGCCCGGGAAGTGCTCAGCCGCACCTTGCAGTGCCAAACTGCGGACGCGCCGCCGCAGCTAAAGGCGGGGGTTGCTCCTTCGGCCCCGGACGAGGGAAACAACAGGTAGTGGGTCGTAAGCTTGCTTCTGGGATTCGATGGTGTTTCGTGTTGAACCAATATTTAGAAGGTAATTGTGAGGGTCACTTTCATAGATGAGGCCCGCTGTTCCCTTTGGCTTCTTTGTAAAGCGACCCCTAACAGGTCACCCACTCCAAAACTGGATCACGGAGCTCTCTAACCCCTTCAGTCCGGGTTGTCCGATTCAACCCCAGGCTTAAAGCATGGCAAGGAACCACTCCTTAAACATACTCCTTTGGTTTGTCTTTAGGGGCCCAGGCTCTGGTTGTGAAAACAAACTTTGCCCCAACCCTCAAGCAAATCATCTCTAAAAGTCAACCCTTCAGTGGTTCACCATCAGATCGGTGGCCTGGCCAGAGGGAAATAGTATATATATATATATGGGAGGGGGGGGGGTCTTATCCAAAATGTGATGCATTTGTTGGGTAGACTAAATAAGAACAGGATTAGAATATGTGTGTGTGTGCCCCAGATGTTGGCCAAGGTATGACCCACTCGCCATGATAGCTAATTCAGGCTCTGCTTTCTTTGCAGTCAATTGTCCGGAGTACCCAAAATACATGGGAATGATTTTCCACTGCGTTTACCGCCTCCCGATCAATCTGCAGTTTGGCTTAACTGCCTTGTCCAAAACAAACAAATCAAACGTTCAAATGTTCATTTGTCATCTTCGTTTAGGGGCAGCTGGAACCAAAATTGAAGTTTAAGCTTCTGAACCCTGGGTTTTGAACCAGCTGATAATGATTGGACCAAGCTGGGAGTACTGGAACCTTTTCGTTTCTGGTTCTGTGAAGCAACTCTTGAGCAAGGTGCCCTCAAAAACAGACTCGTCCAACAAAGGGTTTGGAGTTTGCAAGATGTCAAATACCAAGCAAGGGTACCCTCACGATGTCATATGTAATGTTCCCAGTTGTTCAGCGGCAGCCGTAAAATCCCTCAATGTTGGGTCAGTTCCCGACTAAACATGGAATCGACCCAGGTTCCCTTTTGCTACCTCACTGGGTGTTCCTCTCGTTTGCTTTCTTTCCAACAAACTGCCCAAACGCAGGGAAACAGCTGGTTTCTGAAAAGAGTCGTTGTTGCAAAGAATGGAGGTGTGTGTGTGTGTGTGTGTCTTTGTGTTGGGGGAGCTCCCTTTTGGTTCAAAGGAAGACCCAAAGGAAGTAGACCATTTGTGGGTCCAATTTACAATGGGAAAGCCTTGGTATTTTGGGACATCAAAGGCACGCCTTTGAGAAGCCCCCACACGGCACTTTTTCTCCGGACCGCCATCATCCCCAGGGGGTGCTGCGGAAGTACCAAGCCCAGGGTTTCCAATGGCTGGCCAGCAACGCGGAGAACGGGATAGGCAGGTCGCGTCCAAAGCAAAACGCCCTGAGGGCCGGAGGTCCTGTTACCAAGCATTTGGAGCAGTTCCCTCTTCAGTGAATGTTGCCCTTGATTCGAGTTCTTGTGGGAGATCAAGACAGATGATCAAGGCAATCAAAGTTGCCCATTTCTACCAGGGTCAATGGACTGCCTCTAAATGGTGGTTTAAAGCAAAACCAGGGTTTTGTTTTTGCATGGTTGTTCACTTACAAGGGAAAACCACAAGAGGTTGTTCAAACAAGTTGGCCAAACATCTTACAAGTGGTTGGCCTAGCCCTTGATCCATTTTGCCTGTACTTGGATTTGGAGAGTTTGTTGCCACCCTCTTTGCAGAGTTTGCCAAACAGGCCTGGGAGATGAATCGTCATTTTTCTGTTTCTGTTGGTGTCCGTTTTCATGGCAGACTACTCCCTACTTTTTGACGCAGTGGCACGGGGTCCCGGAGAGCGGTGTTCCAGAAGTTTACTCGATTCCATGAGAGCTACCTACCCCTGAAAAGTTCTCCAATCTTCCGAAGGAGACATATGCTTTGTTCACAATGCCACGACGCCACACCCCGACCACACCCTCTCCAAACTCCACTCTTGTTGTGCTTGTTTGCTTGGTTGCCTGTTTTCTTGGTTGCTTGTTTGATTGCTTGGATTCTACTTTTTGCTAGGCAGCTTGCTTGCCGATGACATGGGCCTCGGCAAGACGCTGCAGTGCGCAGCCGTGTTGGACCACCTGCACTCCAGAGGCATCGGGTGAAGCCGCTTTCGGGGCCCCCAGTTGCAACCAGTGGCCTTCACCCACCCACCCCACCCAATGGCCCAAGAAAAGAATGGGAGGGGGTCGGACCCCTGTAAAATAAACCAAACAAAGCTAAGGTGCTCTTTGTGAATGGAGGTGCTCTGGGGTAAGGTCCACGTCCTTGTTTGGTTGGAGAAGAGGGTCTTCAAATTTAACTAGCGAAAGAAGGTGCTCTGAAAAAGGATAGGGATGTTATCCTGAAAAAGGTCATAGCTCTGCTCCCACAGGAGTTCTTTCAACCCGCCTGGTGCCTTCATTCTGAAAGCCCTAGTTTCATACTGGTTCTGTTTTGATCAGTTTTCCGAGGAGTTACGAAGCCTAAACCAACCGGGGGGTTGTTGATGCTGGATCCGTGTTTGGATAGGTTGCCCAAATTACAATCGGGAAGGGTGGCCGCACCCAGCTCCCATGGCACTTGGGAGCATCTGAATATTGGCCATGGTGGGACAGAACATGCCATGGGCCTGAAGGTGAGGTTCAAACCACAAAAAAGTCAAGAGATACTATTACAAGACATCCCCAACCAGAAATGTTCTTTGAACCCTACCAGAACCTGTCAGAAAGTTCAGTGAGGCCGTTTTTGCGAGCAGACATAGCAACATACTGTCAGTGATGTGGCAGCTGCACTGTGATTCTAAGATGGTTTCACCACCAAACCACTACTTCTGGATTTCATCGGGTAGTCAATCACTATACATGTGGGTCCTGGTATTGGTTTCGGGTAGTGGAAGCCACCTTAGATCAGGTAACCCTTAGTTGGCGGTTTGGATTGGTGGCTTGGGGATTTGAACCTCTCGTCCTTGCTGAGAGTAAATGGGAAACCACCCAGCACCTCCAAACCACCAATCCGAACAACAAATTTGAGGGAAGCTGACTACACTCCAATCGCAGGGCACATCACGGCAGAGCAGCCGGCGCTGGTGGTGGTGCCTTTCTCGGTGCTGGGAAACTGGCAGAAGGAATTACGGCCTCTCAGTTTAATGGACGACGGGCGATTCACCCCCCCTTCCCCAGCCAGTTTCTGTCCTCCGATATCACTTGATGTTTTAAGGTTGGCTGACTACGAAGCAGAATCTGAAAATGTGTTGTTTAGTGTACCGAATTGGGCCGCCCCCGAAGAATCTGTCATATATCCGGAAAGCGGGGCCCCACCCACGCCCGATGTTCGGGGTACTTTGGCCCCACATTGGACCCGAGGCAATGGACACCCGCCCTGCGCTTTCAGATCTACCACGGCAAAGGAAGGTCCCTGGAAGGCGCTGGTTGTCCAAAATCCCAGTGTGACTTCCTAGCGACTAGTAGATTCCTAGATAGTTGTTTTTCCCCCGCAGAAAGCAATGGGGACTCTGAGGTTCTCTTCCGGCCTGCTGTAGTTTGTTGTTTTTGCAGTTTGGTGAGAGTCAGCGTTTATCACTGTGGCAGGGGAAGTGTGGGGCTACTGCAAAAAGGGAGTTGGAGCCCTCATCCAAGTTGTTGCTTGGAGTTCCTTTTTGGGCTGAAATCGCTGCGATGCAATTTCATCAGTCTGGGCAACATTTTGGAGGCCGAATCCATTCAACCCTCCCGCGATCTCTCTTGAAGTTGCTTCACATTAAGAAGTATTTTGGGTTGGGGACAAGAGCTGAGTTGGGAATGGGGAAGTCGAATCTTTACAGCTAACTTGATGCAGGTGGTGAGGTGCTGCTCACCACTTACAGCGTGCTCCAGCTGGACGTCGAAAAGCTGGCAGGCGGAGTTCTGGTCAGTGAGAACATGACGTCGATGGAATTGACGGGTGTTTAGCTTCGTTTTGACCTTGGATTTGTTGGCCCTCAGAATGGGTGGTTTGACCTGGGAATGCCTTCCTTTGGCAGATTGGAAAGCCGAACACCAACAGAAAACCTACCATTGGACGTGTCGATTCCGCATTCTGCGACGCACATATTATGGGCTCTCTAATAAATTGGAACCGGATCCAAACTGATTGGTTTCGCTTGGGGGCTTCCTTGAAAAACCAACCAAATGTGGCTATTGTGTTGTTGCTTTTTAGCACGCCCATACCTTGCTTCACCTTTTTCTGGACTTGCTAGGGAACAGCAGTATGGTAGCAACATGTCAGGACTGGGGGATAATGTTGATCCAGAATCTATAAAACGTTGGTTCATTCATAGGGGAGTGTTCCATTTCAGAGGTAGTCCTGCACTTCGGGAAATCCAGCGAGCGACGAGCAGTTATGCAGAAGGCAAAGACGAACATCCGCTGGGACAGGCCACAAGCGAGCTATGGGGTTCCCAAGGGAGGTGCGAGGGGCTACTGGACAGCCCTGTTTGTTGGGTGCGACCGAGCATCAATCGTGGCATCCCCGACCCCTTAATGGGGAAGGGATATCAACCGCTGGAGATCTCCATTTATAGTCAGCCATTTTCCCAGTGGAAAAACGGCAACCCGGTAGGGGGCTGGCTCCTGTGACACCCGAGTGCTGCCTGATCCCTGAGACATGTGCTTCTCCGCCATCGTTTTGGATGAGAGCCAAAACATCAAGAATTCCCAGAGTCTCACAGCAAAGGCCGGGGTTAAGAGAAGAGAGGGAGGATCCAGCTGGGACGAAGACCAACTGCTCAACTGTTCGGTCGGGAAAAAAGTTGAACTTCCATGTTCTGGATGTTCTAGGGAATGAGACAGCTCTCAAGGCCCAAAATCCGCCTCAAAAACTGCGTGCTTCTGGCAACCAGCAATCAGACAACCTGGCCCCGCCCGCCGGAAGCCTGGGTTTCGTGACAAGCCAGCAGTTCCAACAAGAGGGGTGACTATATGAAATAATATTGTGTTGCAATGGCCAAAAAAAAGTATAAATGAATATGAACTTGATTGGGGACCCTCAGATGAACATCTTGTACATGGTGATTGATGTCCACCAACCATTTTGGAGTGTTTTCCGTTTAAGACAAGTAGGCCATTTGTGTTACAATCAAATACCAGGGCCCAACTTCGACCATTACAGGGTTGTTCACTGTCCAATCACTGCAAGGGAAAATGGGTTGCATTCTGAAAATGTCCCCCCCTCGAGCATTTCTTTCGGACCGTGTGGAAATCCTGTTGGAGGGCGCCTCGAACATGTCCCAACGGCTTTCCAATAGCCTCCGGACAAACGGCAAAATATGCTACCTTGGGCTACCTTGGGCCATCGTGGGCCTATAGAAGCCCGTGGCTACCGGCAGGTCTTTTTGCCAGTCAGGTGCTGTTCATGAAAGGGAAACCGCCTAGTTTAACACACGTCCATGTCATGACAGTAGAGTGTCGCGCAGATTCGGGGCCCTTTGAAATTGAGGTTCGCTTGGGTGGGGTGATGGGTTTGATAGAAATATATATATATATATATATAGAGCCTAGCATTGTTTTGGGTGCAAGGGTGCGCCATTTGCCCATTTTATAACCTAGACCTCCAATGCCCTTTTGTTCAATTGTTTTTGGGCATGGTTTCAGCCCGCAAAAATGGTGTCCTTTTTCGCCACCACCACAACTGGAGAAGTGTTTTTTGTGGAGGCGGGGACTTCATGAAGTAAATTTGCAATCCTTATGCCAGATGGTAGGGTGTCCCTTGTTGCATTGGGGTCCTACTAGGATCATCCTACCAGTTTCAACAACCCTGTCAAAGGCGCTTAAAACTGTGTCCCGCTGCAGGAGAGGTCCCACGACATGAAGAAGCTTTTCAGGGCCTGAAAAGTTGTTTGCATGGTTGTAGGTGATTGTTGGAGAAATGATTTGTTGGGCCCTGCAAAGTATTTTGCTTGCGGTCTTCCCGTAGCCTTCCCGCACGCTTAGTTTTCCTGTTGTCCCGTGGTCTTCCCCTAGTTTCTCGGGAAAAGCTGTTCCGGCGCTCTGCTAGCCCTGAGAATGAAAATGGGTGACTCTGGCCGGCAACATACTAAAACCAATTTTCAGAGCTTGATATTTTTTCAGCACCACTCAGCTTTCCGGCTTTGCTAGCCTTCAGAGTCAAAATGGGTGACTCTGCAAGCCAGGGGCCGGAAACGCGCAAAATCAACTTGTCGCAGCTTGAGAAGTGTTTGTTGCATTAGCCGAAAAGGGCGAGGGCTGCGAGGTAGCGTGGCAGATGACTCGGGCATCTAAGAAACGATTTAACAACGAGGTGACGAGGTATTCAATAAAGACCATGGGAAACCAGCTGAGCCTTGCCCTTGGTGGTGGACCAATTCGGGCCATAGGCTGTGAAGAGGATCGCCACGGCGAGCGGCAACCACTGCGCGCGCTTGGCCCTGTCAGGCGGGGGGAAGCTCAACCTTTTATCACGTCTCCTCAGAATCTGAGGATATGGAACAGAATCAGAAAGATAAGGTTCAACTAGTACGGAACAGATCTTAGGATATGGAACAGAATATTTGAATACCTTGCATAAGGTTGACTTGATATGAGGATACTTTGTTAGTGTACCCAAGAGTCGGGCCAAGGCAGTATCGTACTTATGTCTTTGGCTAAAACGCCAGAGTTGACTGCTGACCAAGCCATGCAGAAGTTGGTGTTAGAGTCGAGTACCAAAATAGGGCCTCGAGTAGAATGGGGGTTGTCGATTTTGAAATCAGATCTAATCATGATTACAAGAGAAGAATGTGTGTATTGTTTTGGCAAATTATATTGAGGAGAAACATCGGCATTCTTAGGGGCTGTAGTGTTTCTGTGTGTGTGTGTGTGTCAGTGATGTGTCCAACACACCGAACAATGTCGGCAGATATATGCGCAAGCATGCATACTTGCAAAAAACCCTTCGCATATGGGTTTGCCTCAAATTGGTGAACCCAAAATGCCTGCTTTCGTTTTGGTCTCCCTTAACACCACCTCAAAAAGGGTGCTTGCGCACAAAGAAAGCAAATCCGTGTTGTTGATTGTTTCCGGAGGTACCAACGAGAGAAACGGACAAGACGGTTATTGACAAGAAGAAGGAGACCAACTCAAAGAACCAACGACCAATGCAAAATGGCAGCCCCCTGTTGATATGAAAAACACACTTTCTGAGGGTGCAAATGTACAAAGAAAGAGAGAAAAGACATCAAGCAGGGTATCAACTCAATAGAATCAATACAAAAAGAACATGCAAATCCATGTAGCTTCCCGTTCGGCCCAGGCGCCCTCTCGATCTCAGCTTTGGCTTGAATCGAAGGCACGCCCATCGAGAACCGCCTGGGGGAGTTGCACTCGCTCTTCGAGTTCCTGAACCCCGGGTTTCTGGGGACCAAGGACCGCCTTCGACGTCCTTCGTCGTGGATACGCCGTGTTTGGATTCGTTTCATGGTTTCGGCAGTTTGTGTTTGGGGGCTGGGGTAGGAGGGTTGAAAATGAGTTTGCGTGAGGTTCTCGTAATTCTTGACAGCTTGTTGGCTAACATTGCCCGCCAATTGCTATGAACACATGTCCAGATACAAATCATGTGATGGTCCACTGTTCCGGATCCGTAAACGATGGATAGAAAATGAGCTTATTCCTTTTGAGAGTGTCATTTGCATTCCAGGGCTGGATCGCTCTAATTTGCTCATCTTAAGGCTCGCTGCTCACTTCTATGGTTTAAAAGAGGCGATAGGATGCATGAGATGGACGAATCAAAGCTTGCCCTCTCGTGGAATCGCATGAATGTCACACACTGCCCATGGTTTGGGTCGAATCCTAGTGAAGAGAGTCTACTCTTACCCTGCTTTATTCGGGGTGTCTAATCCCTACCCGTGCACTGCATGTGGGTTTTCTCGAGGACGTGTTTGAGTTAGCGTTAAACTCTGAGAATAACACTAGATACCCCTTGTTCACACCGGTTCCTTGGCGTGGGATCAACGAACCACTCGGTTGTGTTTCCATTTAGAATCATCCAGAAAGGGGCGTTCCCCATTTTGAGACACCTAGGCCGACAAGTCCTCGCCGCTAGGAGGGCTTCTTGGCGAACTTCGAACGACCAATGAAGAAGGCCTGGGGCTTCGTGTTGTCTAGTTGGAACCATGCGGGGCAAAGGGAAGGAACCTGAAAGAGCGCCTTTTCAAGAGGAAAACGGGCTAGGAGAATGGTTGTCCAAAGGGGTTCATTCAGGATTGATGGCTTGTTTTTGGGAGGGATAACCTGGTTTGGATTCTTGTCCGAAATGCACGTTTAGCCTTGTAAACGCTGAGAGGAACGAACGAGTCACTGGCTACAACCCAGTTGTTCAGTGGCACCCTCTCTTTTTGCTTGGTTGATTGATTCAGGTCCCATGAAAGATGTCAACCCCAAATTTGGTTCCGTTTCTCTACCAGGCTACTGGGAAACTGGGAAGGCCGTGGGACTTGTTTCCCCACACCGCAGACTGAGGCCTGACGGCCTGACGGCCTTACTGATAGTGGCTCTAGCTTTGCACGAGCAGAGGGATTGGTTGGCTTTGCCTTCTCGTGTTACCCGCCCACTTTGTAGAAAGACAATTTGAGTGGTAAGCAACAAGGTTAGACTATTTTGTCAGTGCGCTCAAGAAGTGAGTAGTGTCACACGCTGGCAAACAGGGGTCCGAACCCTTAAAACACCAATACAAGCCACACACCGCGCCTGATACTATGAGGCTGATCTCCCTGGGGGTGACTTCCTCAACACGATAGGAGCAATCTAGAAACCCATTCAGCGGCAATCAGCCTGTTCGTCAGAATCAACTCCCCAAGCGAGCACAGAAACCAGAGGGTATTTCAAAGGGGTTTCCGCAAATACAGCCCCAAAATGGCAACAGTGTCTTCTGGTTTCCCTTGAAACACACGCCGAAAGGGTTTCCCCTTAGCTAAATTTCCCCAATCGCTGTTGATGTTCAGGGTAGAAAATCCCGTTGTTAAATCTGCGGCTCTTCCTCCTTTTGCTCGTCGACATGTGGATGTGTCCAAAAATTGCTGTAAAAGCTTCGTTTTGGATGGCGTTTCAAGGGAAAGCAGGGATTCCTAGCAGGGAATTTACGGGTATGCTGAGAACCATCCCTTGTAGCTTCCTGTTAGGGGATCCCCTCCCAGTTCATTCCCAAAGCCCTCGGTGACTCTCTGAGAACCAGCAACTTGGAATCCCTCTTAACCCGGATCCAGCTTCAAGCCGAAGCTTTGAAGAGCCAACAAGATTTGGGTCGCTCCAGTTCGTGGACTTAAAGCTTTTTGGAAAGACAATTTGAGTGGGCAAACGAACAGTCTGACTTGTTCAGACCAATACACTCGATCGGACGAAAACCCGTCAGGGTGAGGGCCACGCAGCGCTGGCGCGGCTGCACGCGGCGCTGCGGCCCTTCATGTTGAGGTGAGGTTGGGCGAGTTCGTTTTTTTTGGGGCCAAACAGCTGGGTACTCGGTTGATGCATGAAGTCATGGTTGATTTTGATTTCCCCTGATTTCAAAAATGTTTGAGCGAGTTCCAGATGAAGCGGAATCTACCCTTGGGTTGGCCGAAGGTTTGGGCAAGTTCAGGGGTAGTTTTATTGACCCCACTGGAAAGGTTGACACAAAATGGGGCCATACCCTCAAATTAAAGGGCCTTCTTTTGGTTGGAGAGACAAAATCGGGCCGACTATCTTGAAACACCACCCAACTTGCAAAGGGACACCATGCACCTGACCAGAGGGGCCGGGGTCGCTTACCCAAAAGGGGACCCAAAGCCGCACAAAAATGAAGAAATTTTGAACCGGTTTGGTGTCCCTTGTTGGTCAACAGGTTCGCCCAATATTTTCCAAGCCCCTTCGGAGGGTGTGGAGAACTTGCCATGTGCCGGCTGTAAATGGCTTGGGACCCCTTTTGGGGCAAGTGGCGGACCCAACTTGCCCTGGCGTGAAGCAAGATTGTCAGCACTCGCCCAGGAGGCCTTCCGATGAATACACACTGTTGAACGGGAATCACCAATTAATCTGGACATGTTTGCCTCAGCTTACCGAACCAGGGTAAAAGTTTCTGACTTGGGGCTTCTTGATGCTTGGATGTCTAACCTTCTTGCTAAGTGATCACAAGTGGGACGACAGGGGAATCGACATTGTTAAAATTAACTTACCAAGCAGGCTGGACCTACAATTTCAGTTTTGTTTGGGTACTCCCCAAAAGGACTCAAGCACAGGGGGTTGTTTCTTGGCAAACATTATATTGTAACCGCACCTGGGTTTCAGTGTTTCTGGGAGTAACTAAAAAAGCGGAACCCTGATCCATGGCCAAGACACATCCATCTTGGGGTGATAGAAAGACACGTGTTCACGTGCAGAAAGGTCCGCCCTCTTGAAGAATCTTTGGTCTCACGTCTCACGACAAGCGGGCCTTCATGTCACCTGTCTAACTGTGCTGTTTTACGAAAGATGCGCCTTTTTGGGCGGGGGTTATGTCCAGATAGATTTGATATGTTGGACCACTCTGTGGTGTGCGTCAGTTGTCCAAGGTGCAGTGCCAGGGTGTGATAGG